GATTGTGGATTGTGTTTGAGGATTTTAAAATTAGAATTGTGGATTGCGGCTGCGGAAAATTTTTTTTCAATTGCGGACAGCCCTGATCCTGAGCCAAAGTTTTTGGGCCCATTTCCTAATGGCAGAATATTGGTCTTTAGATTTCCCTAATTAAAATCTATTTAACGTAAGCTAGTTATAAGGGGGCATCTTAGAGACGTCTGAGACCGAAAATTTTCCAAGACACAAGACCAAGACTACACTCCAAGACCAAAACCGAAAAAAAACCCCAAGAAAATTCTTGGAATCAGATCTCAAGGCCAAGAGTCTCGGACGTCTCTAGGACATCTTATAGTGAAGTTAACATAAAATTTTTTTAATTCATTTACTTTTTAATCGTTCATTTGCTTGATTAATATAAGCATTTTTGGTTTTCTCCATTCTATATTGTCCTTGTAACATTGCTGAAAACAAAGGGTCAACATCTGGCATTTTTACTTTTTCCACAACTTCTTGAACCTGTTTTTGCTTATTTTTTTCATTATTTGGAGGGCGAGGAACTTGATTTTTAGTAATTTTTTGGTCTTTTTTTACTAAATCTTCCAAATTAATAAATCGCATTTGTTCGTGTTTATTGAAATTAATATTTTGATTTTCTTCAATTAGCTTCTCCTTTCCTTTAAAAATTTTGAAAATTTTATTAAATTATTTTTTGTTTACATACTCACATATTAATCCTAAACAGTGGATTATAAATATTTGGAGTAGAGATCGGACCGTACCGTACTACGGCCGTATTTTTCGGTATTTATCCGTATTCCGTATCGGTAGTACGGTACGGAATACGGTACGGAAATATTTTTTTAAAAAATACGGTACGGAATACGGTACCGATGAAAAATATCGGTATTTGTCGGTATTTCTCGGTATTTATCGGTATTACAGTCGGTAATACGGTACGGAATACGCTACGGCAACATTTTGAATTTTATCGGTATTTTTCGGTATTACGGTACGGAATACGGTACGGAACAAAATTCCGATCTCTAATTTGGAGTATCTTAAAACAGAGGGATTTATATAGAGTATACCGTATATACTCTATTAATTACCCTCCCTCAAATAATTACCCTCTTTAATAATTACCCCTCCCTTTCTTTTTCTAATTTCAAAAATATTGAAAAAATCGTTGTCAATTTAATTATTGAAACATTATAAGAATTAATATCAAAAAATAAATGGATTTCCTCTTTGATTTATTGAGATATACCCAAAATTTAGCCCATCCTCTCGATTAATTACCCCCTCCAGAGGGAGGTCGAAACAATAATTACCGAGGGTAATTAATACAGTATATACGGTAGTAAAGTTCCGAGGGGTTTTTTAAATCTCGATCCAGATTGTGCTGATCCCGAGACTGAAAGATACATAGATCCCGATCCCGATTTTTGTCAATCCCGATCCCGAGACGGGATAGGAACCTTGTAACATCTCTAATAAGGCTTGAATTTCGTTTATCTTAAATCTAACCCGAATTATTAAATCGTCGATTATATGCTTCAATCAACTTTTCTTTATCTAATTTAAGGCCAAATCCTTGTTGTGTATTTTGATTAAAATTATTATAGTTTGGAGTTTCTTTTTGATCATTTTTGATTATTAAATTATTTTCTTAAAAATAATTTTGTCATTTAGTCTAAGTGGGATAATCGGGATAGAAAATCGGATAGAAAATTGGAATAGAAAATGGAGCAGACGATAGACAGAAAATTTTGATTGGACGCATAATCTGGATTGGACGCATAATCTGGATTGGACGCATAATCTGGATTGGACGCATAATCTGGATTGGACGCATAATCTGGATCTTTTTTCGAGCCCAAATATCCTGACCCGTCAAACCTACTCTGGACCATTAAAAGGATAAATAGACTTAAAAAAGTTGGGAAGCCTAAATATTACTGGATTACCTCCTGGGCAGCTCCCTTATACGAATCTTAAAAAATTTTTACCTAGAGTTAAGGGTTCCTTTAATTGTGGGTTTGCGTAAAATTGAGGTCCGGCTGTATTATTTTGATATTCCTCAATTACTTTCTCCTTTCCTTTTAAGGTTTCTTTCCTTGCCTCTTGATTTTTACTTTGATTTTTGTAATAAGTTCGAAAATCTATTAGATAATTTCCTTAAAATGAATTTTTTATTTTAATTAAACTAGTGGGATCAGAGATAAATCGGAATTCTCATGTCTCGCCTTTTCCCGATAGGTTAAGGTACCAATTTCAAAAAACACAACATCATCTACATAGGGGTGACACCAATTTTTTAATAGAGACTTTCTATTTACTACTTTCTAGCTCCTACACCTCTGACCTTCAAACCAGACATCAATCCGTTTTTGAAACTTTGGAAGGCCAAGAATCCAAAAATACTCCCCCTTTTGTTACACTCCTTTGCATTAATTTGGTCAAACATAACGTAAAATGTTATATAAAATATCTAGAATTTCCAAATATGGATTAAGTTCAAATATTAGTTCCAATAGGCTTAGTTCCAATCTCGGACTTAGTTCTCTTCATGGGCAATCTTCGTGTACCTGTAACACGAAGGTATAAGAAGATTGCCCATGAATTGCCTACGAAGATTGTCTCTGTTCCAATCTTAGTTCCAATCTCTCTCTAGTTCCGACACCTCTGACCGTTCAACCCAGACAGTGTAGTGTATGTCTGGTTAAATCCCTCCCCCTTCCACCTACCTGGCATTTCATTAAACACAAAATTTTGAAGGTTTTTGTAATAATAAATTATCCTGTTCATTATTATTTTTAGCAAAAGTCAAACAACTCGAATTTGACGAATTTGGAGAATTAAAATTATATTCACTATTAATCTCACATTTATTTAATAAATTTAATTTTAAAATTCCTTTAGTATTTACAAATTCTATATATTTTTCCAGAATTATATTTTTAAATTCTTCACTAATGTCGGTATCCGTTAGCAATTTTACGACAAAATTTTGTAATAATATTACATCATTTCTTTCTCCTCGGATATTTTTTCCTTCTGGAGCAGCGAAAATAACCACCAAATTTAACAGAAAAATAAACAAATTAATTAATTTTGTCATTTTTGATGAGATAAATCTATAAAGAAATGATTTATAAGAACCTCAGTGTGAGATAACCCCTTTGGTCAAATCATACTTGAACTGGAACTAATCCCCAGGGTACTAGTCCCCCAGGCACTAGTCCCCCAGGTACTAATCCCCAGGGTACTAGTCCCCCAGGTACTAATCCCCAGGTACTAATCCCCAGGTACTAATCCCCAGGGTACTAGTCCCCCAGGTACTGATCCCCAGGGTACTAGTCCCCCAGACACTAGTCCCACAGGAACTAGTCCCCAGGTACTAATCCCCCCGAGTAATAGTCCCCCAGGCACTAGTCCCCCAGGTACTAGTCCTTCAGAAACTAGTCCCCCCCCCCCCGAGTAATAGTCCCCCAGGTACTAATCCCCCAGGTACTAATCCCCCAGGTACTATAGGCCCATGATCTGGCCCAAGTCAATAAATCAAACACCAAGGAACAGGCCCAGGCTTTTCAAAAATCTCCATCTCTACAATAAACCTCTCACGTAACAATATTAAATATTGGGGTTATGTTAAGATTAGTTCTGAATATATTAAAAATTAAGACAGGCCTCGGCTTTTTGAAACGATTTTTAATACTTGTTTGGCTAGCTGGGTGAGAGGGAGCTACTGGGCTACTGGAGAGCTTCCTAAGCGATACCCTGGATTTTATATACGCCTCGCTTTTAAATAAAAAATAAAAAAAATTTTTAAAGTAACGAATGAAAAGTGAAAAATAAATTCTGATTACTTGTGCTTTTATTTAAATCTGATTTCCTGTTTACATAAAAATAAAAGCACTTTAATTATTTCCCAATGATGCAACAATAATAAATTTTAAAATACTTTAAAGGGCATCATTGTGAAACCCTTTATATGCCCTATAAAGGGCATCATGTCTGATAAATAAGACTTTCATAATGCACTTTTTATTAACGATAAACAAAGATAGATGATAGAGGATGTCATTGGTCCCGAGGAAAAAAAGAGCAAAAAAAATGTTTTTCCTATATTTTGATGTTATAATGCACTTGGCGATAAACAAAGTTAGTGTGTGCAGTAGACGGCGTGGTGTAATTAGGGTTGTTCCCCGTCCCCCCCCCCCGTGGCGCTGCCTCCCCGAAAATTTTCCCCGTGGCCCTCTCCCCCCCCCCCCCCGTCGGAGAACGTTGTAATGGATAATACTTCGGTCCGGTCTACTGAAGATGCTGGTTCACTCCCAGCCGCCGATTAACCTTTTGCACTAGCTGAAGAATTTGACTTATTCGAATTTGGTTCCAGGATTCAAAATAGACAAATTCTAATCGGTCTCAGACACTCGATTCCTTATTGATAAAACTCAAAAATACCAAAAGAGCACTTTTTACTAATTTTTTCTAGGGACCAAAGTCTTCAATATTACCCATAGATCCTGGCTCTGTTTATCCGGATATCCAGAAAAGGCAGCCTTACTTTTAGCCTACACTTTCTTTTATAAGGAAGGTAAATTTATTCAACATTAATATGTATATAACAACTATGCAAATATACAGTCGAACATCGTTTTAATTCCCCTTATTGCTGAGGAAATCTTAGTTAAAACGAGTGGTATCTGAATTTGAGGGTATGCCTTGAGGCTATGTCCTATTCTCACCCAGTAGCCAACCAAATTTTAAAATCGTATCTGAGGGGTATCTCAAATTGGGGGAAAGGTTCATTTACCTAAATAGATACGAACTCCGAAAGCACTACTCCGACAAACCCCGAAACCCGACACTCCGGTCCCTGAGGGCTCGGGGTGCTACCCTAATTTAAAATCGAAGTCCGACTGTATTTAGGTAATTAAGAACAAATATTCTAACATTTTTAGCAATCAACCCATTCTATCTACATTCTAAATCTCAACTAACTATTAAATTCTCTATATTTTTGGAATCCCAAAAGCAATTCCAGATTTTTCTATTCCAACTTCATTCACTCCACTTCTAATTTTGACAAGTCCTTTTTCTCCCCATCCAGTGCTCCATGAATTTGCAATTAGCCAGAAAGGCATACTCTTTCCACTACACGTTTGGGTACCCCAACCAATTATTCGGACAGCATGTCCTCCTACTTTTCGGGCATTTGCAGTCTTCTAAAAAAATTTTTTTGTTCTATTAACATCCTTATAAGTTACAAAATAGACTCCAGATCTGTATGACATAAAGTCGTTATAAACATCAAAACAAGCAACGACTGGGCCATTTGCCATTATCTCATTTTTAATAGCTTGAACGGTTGCAGTACTTCCTTGAAAACCCTTTGCACCCGTTGCTAAATAGATAAGATTAGAGGGAGCTTTCCAGCTTTTATAGTACTTCAGTTGTCATCTGTTTCACCTCTTAATCCCTTACAGTATGAATTCCCCTTCGCTCCTATATTCCCTTAAATAATAAGACACTAGGAGTATCGGTACCCCTCCCCCTCCCCCTCCCCCCCCCCCAGCCCTATAACATGATGGTTAGAGCTTTTGATTCTCTTTCCATTGGTATCAAGAAAAATGAATGAGTGACCATTGAGTTATAAAGTCGGGACTGAACTCCGGACTGAACTGCTCCGAGAGGAACTATCTTTAAGTCATTCAACCCCATTTTCTCAGCGTTCCCTTCTATTCCACCAGACAGAACTAAATTGCTCTCTAGTCTTTTAAAAATATTTTCCTTCTTTAAATTACCAAAGTGTTTATCTTTTGCATATGCTGTCTTCCAGTTTGCTGTACATGCTGATTTACAGGGTGACCTAGGTGTTGCTCCACCGGATGCATATGGATATGGTTTACATCCTCCCTTCGTTTTATAGTCTGTTCCTGTACATACTCCTTTGCTTTGTATCCATTTCCAAGCATCTAAAGGCCAACCACCTTGGCACCCATCTCTACTCATCGAACAGGATAATACATCGAGAGCAGAAAATTGGGAGCCTGCATCTGTTCCAATTTTTTGGTTTTTCTTAGCCTTAGCAATACAATAACGGTCTGTGTAAGTAGAAGCGGTAGATACTGCCCAACAACTTCCACATTGTCCTTGATCTTAAATAAGGATTAATAGTGCCGTTTGGATAGCCAGACCCTGAGATCAACGCTCAGTCCGGTCGCGTTTCTCTCTCCCTTAACAGTAAGAAAGAGGCAAATGTTAAGCCCTCGCTCAAGCTTAACCCTCCCCCGAAGCTTAAGTCTTCTATTAAAGTTTATCCCTGGGCAGGCATCGAACCTGCAAACTCGTGGCATTTATTGTCGTCGTTTTCACTCACCTCGGATCTACCTACTTATCTACCGGGGCGCCGTTTTAACCTTCTCCTTTAATAAATCCTTTAACTCCCGTATTAAGCGTTTTGATTGATCTCCTCTTCACTATGCATCTTCCTTTTTTAATAAAATAACTGTTCTAGATTTCCAACTTTCTCCTTCAAGGAAGCTTAATCAAAGGTTTAGTATGTAGACTGGAGATCGTGACAAGATTTCGAACAAAGAAAAAAGGGTCCAAACAACACTATTACCTTGAATATGTCCTATAATTGCTGAACAACCCGACCATTTATTTCTAGCATCAAATTCAATTTTTGTCGAACAACTTCCCTTTACCGTCCCCTCAACTTTTGGAGGTTCTGCCTGTGTATGGTTTTTATTCTCCTCGGGTATAATTGTCCCACAAAGCTTCTTCTGCTCTATTAAAGGCAATCTAGTTAATTCATTTACTTCTGCTGTCCATATTCCCCCAGTCAACCCATTAATTTCGTCTACAAGTTTCTCAACTATAGACAAATCTAATAATCCGTCTAGCAATTTTGAGGAGACTAATAAAGGAAATAAAAATAATAAAATTAATTTAAAGTTGATTTTAAACATTTTTTGAAAGCTTTTTGTTGAGAAATTCGAATTTTGGTTGAATTTTAAAAAATATTTGGGGGTATTTATATGTAACTATTATTTATTTAACTTCCAGACATTAATTTATTTTTTTGTACTTTTAAATAAATTTTTAACTAAATTAATTTTTAAAAAATAAAATAATAACAAAATATTATTTAATTTTTTAGTTAATATTGGCAGATGAACAAACTTAACTAAAATTATTAATGGTATTTTTTATCCTCAAGTGTGGGCGTAATTTTGGTCGGACAGTATTTTGTAGAACAAGACCTTGATTTTTCCTGGATCTAGAGTCCAGATCAAGGCATTTTTCAGAGTTCCTAGATTTTTCCTTGACTCAAGGGCAAGAATCTGGTCACGGTACCCTAATGAAATCAGGGATCAAGTTCAAGGTTTTTTGCAAATCTCGCTCTCTAGCTAGTGTTTTGTCTCTCAATATAAAAATTACTAATACCATAAATACTCTAATTGAAGCCCTGGGCTTATATTTTTCAATGGCTCTCCTCATAAGGGCCCATATTAGAGGTGGGCTTCAATTAGAGTATTTACTGTAAAATAATTTTTAAATTTTGTCTAAATATTTTTTAAAAAGTGCATAAATTTATTTAATTATTGAAAAATATTTACTTATTTTTCAACCCCTCCAAGAGGTAATTTTCTATTTAAGTTTGTTCATCTGCAAATATTAACTAAAAAATTAAATAATATTTTGTTATTATTTTATTTTTTAAAAATTAATTTAGTTAAAAATTTATTTAAAAGTACAAAAAAATAAATTAATGTCTGGAAGTTAAATAAATAATAGGTACATATAAATACCCCCAAAATTTTTTAAAATTCAAGCAAAATTCGCCTTTCCCTCCAAAAACCTCCTAAAAAATGTTTAAAATTAACACTAAATTAATTTTATTATTTTTATTTCCTTTATTAGTCTCCTCAAAATTGCTAGACGGATTATTAGATTTGTCTATAGTTGAGAAACTTGTAGACGAAATTAATGGATTGACTGGGGGGATATGGACAGCAGAAGTAAATGAATTAACTAGATTGCCTTTAATAGAGCAGAAGAAGCTTTGTGGGACAATTATACCCGAGGAGAATAAAAACCACACACAGGCAGAACCTCCAAAAGTTGAGGGAACGGTAAAGGGAAGTTGTTCTACCAAAATTGAATTTGATGCTAGAAATAAATGGTCGGGCTGTTCAGCAATTATAGGACATATTCAAGGTAATACTGTTCGTTTGATCCCCTATTCCTTCTCTCTATTTAACTTATTTAACTTATCTGCCTAGAGGATCCTAGAGGATCGCCTAGAGGGTCGAGAGTTGAAATTGAGGGTGTTCCAACATCTGTTCCAAATTTTTGGCCTTTTAGTTAGATAAGATTTTTAGTTATGTAGATAAGATGTCAACAATCTCAACCAGAGATGGGCGAAAATAGAATTTTGCCCTCAACGAAACGAAAACGATTTCCCCCTTCAACGAAACGAAAATTTTAACTCTCGATCCTCTCTTTTGTATTTTCGCGATGAATCCTTCTCGTCTACATTAGAGATCGGACTAAGCGGATCTTGTCTTGCTCCGATTCCAGGCTACATACATACCAAACCTCTGATTAAACAAATGAAGGAGGGTGTGTAAAAGATGGATTATCATAGCTATGCAACTTAGCGCTGATTTAGCCACTTAGCCATCTTTTTTATCATTAATATTATCGTATTTAAGACCAGAATCCATGTGCAAGTTGTTGGGCTGTATCTACCGCCTCTGCTTATACAGACCGTTATTGTATTGCTAGACTCAAAAAAGGTCAAACAACCTCTGCAACAGATGCAGGCTCTCAATTTTCTGCTCTAGATATATTATCTTGTTCAATAAGTGGAGATGGGTGCAACGGCGGCTGGCCTTTAAGTGCATGGAACTGGATAAAAAGCAAAGGAGTATGCACAGGAACAGACTATAAAACGAAAAGCGGGTGTAAACCATATCCATATACACCCGGTAAACCAGCAACTAGGTTACAATGTAAATCTTCATGTACAGCAAACTGGAGGACAACATATCCAAAAGATAAACATTTTGGTAATTTACAAAAGAAAATTTTTATAAAGAGTTCGTGTCGAATTCTACCATGAAAGACTTTTAAGGGATAATTCTATGTTGGTTAGGAGATTAAGTTAATAGTACAACATAAGGCAATGTGATAAAGTGTTAGAGGTACACTGCAGTGTACCGCGAGCCCAATGTACCTATGAGCTATAACTTCGCCAGAATTATTGAATTCGGGGCATTATGGTATGCTCAGCTCGATGCTAGGGCGTCTCGGATTCGATCATTTTGAACCAAGTTATAGCTTGGCGGTCATTAGTCTTGTGGTACGTTGGCCTGCTCACAAGTTGTGCTCATCTATCCGATAAATCATTCAACACTTGCTCACAATAATATTCATACATATTTCCTAAGCAACAGTAAAAGTGTTGTTGTAGAAGATAAGAGTAACAGTGAAAAGAATCATTACAGGGAGGGATTAAAGGGTCAAACTAAGAGCAACTGGATTACTATAAAAGCAGAAACAATTTTATCATTTCTTTCCCTTCAAATCAATGCGTATCATTTGACATATTTTAATCTGATTTATCTAGCAACAAATGTTGGAGGTCTTCAAGGAAGTACAGCAACTGTTCAAGCTATTAAAAACGAGATAATGGCAAATGGCCCAGTCGTTGCTTCTATGATGGTTTATAGTGATTTTATGGCATACAAATCTGGAGTCTATTTTGTAACTCGTAGATTTGATAATAAAACAACACAATATTTTTTAGAGGACTGCAAATGCCCAGAAAAGGGACGGGCACGCTGTTAAAATAATTGGTTGGGGTACTCAGACTTGTAATGGACAGAATATACCTTTCTGGTTAATTGCAAATTCATGGAGCACTGCCTGGGGAGAAAAAGGACTTTTCAAGATTAGAAGTGGAGTGAATGAAGTTGGAATAGAAAAAACTGGAATTTCATTTGGGATTCCAAAAATGTAAATAAAATTTAGTAGTTTAGGAATTTAGGATTTAATAGTTAGAATTTTGTATCCGTTCATAATGATATTCAGTCTGATTTCGATTAATACCAGAGGTGGGTCGGAATTCCGATTTTCAACCTCCGACGTTTTTTTCCTTCCGAGTCCGACTTTTGCCCCAGTTTCGGTTTCCGGCTCTTCCGATTTTCGACACATCGGACTGTTCCGACCCACCTCTGATTAATACCGTACATTTTAAATACCACCGCTACTTGATACGATTTCTAGGATTGGTTTGGTTACAGATTTGGAAAAGCCAAGAGCATCAAATTAAGTAGCCCTCGATTTTAAATAAGATTTCTTTAGCACTAGAGGTATTTAAACGAGTTCCGATTGTTTATTTGCTATATTGTTTATTTGTTACATTTTTTTACTTTTTTTATTAGATAAAGTAAATAGGGTATTTGTTTGTTCTCTAAGATTACCCAAGTTAAACAATTGCAATTTTAAGATTTATATTTTTATAAAAGTCTATATTTACTTCCATTTGTGATAAGACGACCAATTAATTTTATTACTAAAAATATTACTAAAACTAATCAATTCAACAATTAAAATAAGAAATGTTTATTTTTCCACTTCCCAATATTTCCATTGGAGATCTTCTCTTCTTTTACAAGGCCAAAACTGCCCAACAAAAAAATAGGGATGATGACAGTCAAATGAGAGAAGCTATTTCGGCAGTCTCTTTTGACTATGGAAATGCTTATCATGTTGGTATAATTGTAGATGAACAAAAGGGGAGGGTTATACATGCAGCTAAAGATGGAGTTGTGATTCAGGTACTCCTCTTCCAGTTACCTTCCTATTCTCCTTTTCTCTCGAGAATTAAAAAATGGTCAAAAGGATTGTTGGTTCGGAACCGAACCGAAGCACAGAAATTTTTGGTTATTCAATTCTGGCCGGGTAGCCGAAAAATTTTCAAGAACCAAGATCACTAGGAAAAAGAGATCACTAGGATGTTCGGCCTTGTAGAATAGATCGAGATTTTCGATATTGATTTCGATTCTCGTGCGACCTCCCAATTCGATGTCAACCATAAAAAAAATTTATACCATCGTGTAAAACTAAGTCTATTTGCTATGGCCAATTTTTTCCTTTCTTCACCCTAATTTGGAATGTACATAAGTCCATTAATATGGCCCTTGACCAGAAAAATTTTCGGAGAAAAGGAAGGGATATTAGCTGAGAAAAGGAAATCTAATGAAGAAGTACCTAAAATTTTTCATAGAATATAGAGGATGCCCTCAAAGATTTAAGTCCGGAATATGCAGAATTATGTCATGTAAAACTTAAAAGTGAATGGAAAAGGGCTGCTGTCAGTTGGGCTTTGAAGCAGTTGGGTAGTGGATATAATGATCTTTTCTCGCCTGAATGCATCAATTCTGAGGGGAAAAGAGCTTTTTATTGTTGTCAACTAGCTGGTTTTTATTTTAATTATTACAGCCGAACCTCAATATTACCACCAAACTTACCATCAATTTAGTATACCTCATTATAAGACCATCCCTCAATTTAGTATACATCTCATTATAAACCAACCCTCAGTTTAGTGACACCTCATTATAAGACCAACCCTCAGTTTAGTGTACACCTCATTATAAGACCAACCTCAATTTAGTGTATACTTCATTATAAAACCAACCCCTATTTAGTGTATAACTCGTTATAAGACCAACCCTCAGTTTAGTGATCACCTTATTATAAGACACTTCAGTTCCGAGAGTGTATCTTATAGTGAGGTCTGATTTATAAGAAATTAAATTTTGATCTTAAATAATTTTTAATACTTTCCTCATAGTAAAATCTTATGCGGAAACTAATGATCAAAATAAAGGACTCAGCCCATTCCCGAAACACGAATTGAATTTTCTTGATTCCAAAGGAGAGATACTCCCATTTTGGTTGGATTATTATCGGTAAAATTAATTTTGTTTTTGAATTAACGAATCATTTTCTAAGCAAACTTTCACCCCAAAATCCACATCCTCCACAAGGACAGCCAGGATCTCATCCAAGTGTGAGTGCTTATTTGGGAGTTATATTGGGAGTTATCTGTAAAAACTGATCATTTTACAAAAAGTTCTCATTGATAAACGATGTCACAGGCAAAACTTTGAGATCAGATCAAGCCAGTTATAAAAAAATTATGAATTCGAGACTTTCGAATGATATGCGAATTATTCGTATCGGTCGAAAATCAAGAAAATTATGGCCATATACTGAATAGGCGGATACTGTACGGCGGCACCGAATCGTCCTTTTCCGGGATTTTTATTACTGGACACTTCGGTGCTGACCTTCACTTCTTTGGGGTACAGCCCGGCGCGCGGCCATAACGGCGCAAAGCCATAACTTGCTTCAATATTTCCGAATCTTACCAAATTTAGTATTAAACGATTCCTCTCATCGAGCTGAAGAGATTGGTACCAAAATTGTTAAGGGCCAGAAGAAAAAATGTTAAGGGCCAGAAATTTTCCAGCAAGTTATGGCTTAGCGCCGTAGTGGCCTCGCGCCTAATTGGGTTCACTTTTCCAACTTAAGCTTAGCGCCTAATTGGGTTCACTTTTCCAACTAAATTTAGTATTAAACGATTCCTCTCATCGAGCTGAAGAGATTGGTACCAAAATTGTTAAGGGCCAGAAGAAAAAATGTTAAGGGCCAGAAATTTTCCAGCAAGTTATGGCTTAGCGCCGTAGTGGCCTCGCGCCTAATTGGGTTCACTTTTCCAACTTAAGCTTCGCTAATTTTAGAAGCTTCGTTCATCACAACTTCTCACAAGTATTGCAATTCAACATTTTTATGAATTTGTAGAGAACCCTATAGAACGAATGAGGAAATTTACTATTCCAAATGACTTACTCGCGGCTCTACATTTTGTAAATGGAGCGAGAATAAATCTTTCTGCTGGAAAATTATTTAAAATAATTGAACCGAGGAATGGTTTATTTATTTTTTTAGTTAAAAAAATTTTTTTGAAGGCAATTTGCTTGCTGAATGCAAATCGGCTACTGGACCTGATATTACGCTTGCGGTACGAGTTGCTTCTGGAGCACAAAAGGAGTGGGGGAAAACGTCGTGGATTGATAGACAACAAATTCTTAATAGAACTGCTATTCTGTTGAGGTTGTTTTAGATTTTTTAGGCAGGTACCAGGGAAAATTTTTTGTGGGAAGGGTCAAATCCTTATTGAAATTTTGGACTTTTTAATTTTGGCGCCTGCTTTTGTGCATACGAACTAGGGGTGGATTTGCCTTTCGCAGAATTCCGCCTTTTTGGGTCTTTAGCTTCAGCCTTCCGCTTTTTAAAAATTGAAAATTCTTTATCCCTGATACGAACGTATCGGCAATCCTGCAGAATCTGGGAGACACCTTAAAAACAACTTTAAAATTATTATTTTTTTCTGAAAATAATTTTATCTAGGTAATCGACCATGCTACTCACGAATCTGATATCAGATTTTGTCAAATTTGACATTTTATCTATGATTTTTTATCATATACTTGATTTGGGGGCGCTTTAGTATATTCCCACACTTTTTCCATCAAAGATTCCGTTGATCATAACTTTGTTCAGAATCATTCAATCGAGTTGATTCTGGTGTCATTCAACTCAGCTCGTCGAATTCTCTCGAATGAGCTATTATTTGGATTTTCGATTTTTTGACCCCAAAAATTTTCAGATTTCGGGGGTCTGTAACTCAGCCCTATGGAGTCGGATCGTTGTAATTTCGGTGGCATTCGACTCAGCTCGAAAATGCGCATCAGATTAGCCCTAAATTTTTAATTTCGAATTTTTACCCTGAATTTCGACTTGGTCGAAATCGGTTCCGGGGTTCGAAATAAACAAATTCTAAGCTCAGATTCGTGATCAGCATGGTCGATTACCTTTATAAAATTATTTTCGGAAAAAAAATAATAATTTTTAAGGTGTTTTTAAGGTGTCTCCCAGATTCTGCAGGATTACCAACGTATCTCAAAAAATATAGCCAGAATTCATTTTTAATTGTGTATCAACTGAATGGGAAATTTGTGCGGATCGTTACAAATCCGCGAATATAAGGAGCCGATAACCGGATTAACACTAAAAATATTGGGAATTTTTTCGGAGCTGTATCCGGTGCTACGTCAGTACACGCCCTATCCTTCTGGTTACGAGCCTGCTTGACGTTGACTTTTTTGCTGACTAAAATTATTTTTTACTCCTTACGGCTACTTCTGCATTTTATTCTCTACTTATTTTTAAATTTTTCAGGGAGCATGTCAATGAACTTAGTGGATGGGAAGTCCGTGATAACGGCAAACCAATTTCTGAAGCAAAAGCAGACATTCTTTCATGTGCCGACACTTTTGAATATTTTGCTGGTGTTCGTTTAGCTGGTGAACATTTTCCATATGATGAACAGAATGAACGGTTTGCCTACACAAGAAGAGAACCTTATGGTGTTGTTGGAGCTATTGGTGCTTGGAATTATCCAATACAGGTATAATCTTTAGCTTTTAAATTTCCAACTGAAAGGTTAAATTTCTCATACGCCTTGGCTTAAGAGTCAAATTTTTTCCCAATTTGCAACTACGTTCCTTCATGTTATTCTATTAAATACTGATATTAGCTGAGCTCCCCCCCCCCATTTTTCATCGGTAAAATCGCAGTATATAAGATAGCGGTTCCTATGTAATCTTCGTATATCCGGAACCGATAACAAATTCCGGATGCCCGAACTTTTTTTATTCCGAATACTCGGAACCTCCACCGGTAATATTGAAGCGTACAGATCCCCTTTCTTCCTCTCCAATTTTCACCACATATTTTTACAAAATGGTCAGAATTTTTCCTTCCATCCAATTTTTTTCCATCCATCAATCAAAAATAATCCTTTTTGTTTGATTGCAGGCAAAAATTAGAAAGGCAAATTGGATGGAAGAAAGGAAAATGTTTGACCATTTTGTAAAAATATATGGGGAAAATTTGGGAAGAAAAAAGGGGGTCTGTATGTTTCAATATTACCCCTCCACCCTCATCCCGTATTTGAGTAACTTGATTGTGTTCAAAAAAAGGAAAATTTGACTCTCGCTGGATTAAGTAACAGAACATCCTGAGCCAGTCCCACTTATAACCAAGTCCATTGTCGTTTTAGTCAAATCCAGACAGCTAACTTCTAATTTTCCCCAAAAATTTTTATTTTAAGACAGCTTCTTGGAAAATAGCGCCAGCTATAGCTTGTGGTAATTCAATTGTTTATAAACCAAGTCCTTTGGCTCCTATCTCGAGTGTATGTTTTTTACTTTGAAAAATTTTTTAACGTCTTTTTCAGGTTCTGCTTGCACTTCTCCTTCAAAGTGCCGGACTGCCAGACGGCGTTGTCAATATTTTACAAGGCGAAGCTGAGACGGGAGCGGCCCTTTGCGTGTCTCCTTTGGTCCGAAAAGTTTCTTTTACTGGAAGTGTTGAAACAGGGAAAGCAATTGCTAAGGCTTGTGCTAGTGAAAATATAAAGCCTGTAACTTTGGAATTGGGAGGTAAAAGTGCTTGTATTGTTTTGGAGGATGCAATAATGGAAGTGGCTGTTCATGGTGCTATGTTGGCAAATTTTTTGAGTCAAGGTATTTGTTAGAGAATTAGGCTTATAAAACTGGCTCTTGGCTGGTTTATACCATGGATGGGCTGGTTACTCGAAACTCCAATTTTAGTTCTTTAACGTTTTTTGAGCTAGCAAATTTTTGATTTAGGACCATTTATTTATATTAATTTAGTCATGTATACTGATTTTTCTAAAAAAATTTAAAATTTACCCAACTTTACCAATAAGCTAACGGAAGGTCCCATGTTATCTGCCCCTAAGTTCCAGATTCAAAAAGAACCCAACCTTGACTTTGAAACAAAAAAAACCTCAACCCCTCTTCCCCCCCCCCCCAAAAAAAAAGAATACAATCTAAAATTTTGGTTAGAAATCTGCCTCGAAGCCATAAATGAGACAAGAATTAATTTTCTCAAGAATATTAACAAATCATAAATTATATTTGCAAAAAATATTTCTAGGCCAAGTTTGTTCAAATGCTTCTAAAATTCTCGTACATAAAAGCCTTTTGGATGAATTTACAAAAATTGTGGTTGACAGAACTGAAAATTTGCGTATTGGAGTAATTTTAAATTTATCTATTTTTAACAAAAAAGTTTTTTAAAAGGACCCTCTTAACGATAAAACCCATGTTGGTGCTTGCATTTCTTTGGAACATTTGCAGAAAGTTCAGTCCTTTATTGATGGTGCAGTGAAAGAAGGAGCCAAATTGTTAACTGGGGGAGAAAGAATAAATATTCAAGGTTTTTTGAGGGTTGAGAAATTTTTTGAGGGGGTTGGAAAAATTTTTTTTTGAAAATTTTCCAAAAATTTTTTAAAATTTTTGGAAAATTTTCAAAAATTTTTTTTTGAAAATTTTCCAAAAATTTTTTGAAAATTTTTTTTTTGAAAATTTTCCAAAAATTTTTTGAAAATTTTTTTCGAAAATTTTTCAAAAAAAAATTTTTCAATTTAAGGCCTAGAAGGAGGCTTTTACCTTTCTCCTTGTATTTTGACTGGTATAAGTCCAGATATGCGTGTTTACAAGGAAGAAATATTTGGGCCTGTTATGTTGATTATACCTTTTGACAGTGAAGAGGTTTTTTTGAAATATTTGAATGAAATCTATTTTTTATTTCAATAGGAAGCCTTAAAAATGGCAAATGATACTGAATTTGGATTGGCTGGTGGGATATTTACAAGGTCATGTTTTTTATCATTCGGCTTGAAATCCGGGTACGGCACAAGTAGGCGCGCAGCCATAACGTCGCAGAGCCATAACTTGCTTCGAGATTTCCGAATCCTACCAAATTTAGTATTAAACGATTCCTCTCATCGAGCTAAAGAGTTTGGTAACAAAATTGATAAAATGTAGAAATTTTCCAGCAAGTTATGTCTTTGCGCCGTTATGGCCGCTCGCATTTGGGAGTGTCTCTTGAAATTTTGTCCCGTGAAATCCGATACCTGGAAAAAATTTTTCGAACTTCGATTCGGAGTAGTATCCGATTTTTTTCTATCCCAGTGACAATTACAAAATTATTCTTCACGGTTCGGGTGCTTCCTTTGCAAGCAAAACTTTCCAATTCTATTAAATTTTTTATTTTTTCAGAGATTTGAGAAAAGCTCATTTATTTGCTTCAAAAATGAAAGCAGGCAATATTTACATAAATTCCTACAATGATGTACATCCCCACGTTCCATTTGGAGGTTTTAATCAATCTGGGTATGGACGTGAAAATGGAGAGGCTGCAATTTGGAATTACACACAAATAAAGAGTGTTTATATAAATGTATCTAATGAGCTTGGTAATCCGTTTACTTGAAGAGAAGTTTTTTGAAGAAATGGCACAAAAAAATATTTTTTAGACCGGTTTATATTTTTTATTTTATTTATTTGTTAAAATTCTATAATTTATTTTTTTAATTTTTTAAATTGCTTTAAATATTTGTTTATTTAAATATCTTGAAAGCATTAAATACTACTTTGAACAGGGTCGGGTCTTTTTCAGCTTACACGATACCATCACGAACTGACCAAAATTTGCGAAGCCTGTAATATATTCGCAAACAGAACCGAATTCAAAAGCCCTTAATTGGTCTTTCTGGACAAACCGACTATCCTCTATATATTGGAATGTTGATAGTTCAGGTGATCTCCTATAGAATTGGTGCAAAAAAAATCTTCGGAAATCGAAGTTTCGAAAAAATGGCTCTATTCCCATGGTAAGCTGAAACAAGACTCGATACATTTTCCCTTTGGAATATTGACAGTTGAGAAAAGATAAAAACTTTTTCATTTCAGAAGTTTAATATTTTTTTTAAATTTTCTCTTCAATGCTTTATTATGTTGTTTCATTGCTCAGTTCAATTTATTGTGATGGTCCAATTCTTCAAGCTGTACAGGATGCCAGACTATTTTCTGATTCAAAATATTTTGTAGATATGCCTCTTAAACAGGATCCAGGTTTCTTTCAAAAATTTTTTTTTTCTTTAAAAATTTTCTCTTAAAGTTGCGACACTTCGTGCCTTCTACGAATTGGGTGAAAAAAGCAAAGATGCCGAAACATTAAGTTCATTTGTTGAAGCACATTTTGATGCTCCTGGACATGAGCTACAAGAAACATATCCTGAAGATTGGGTGCCTTTTCCTAATAGGTTTTCTTTAATTTTTTATTAGATTTTTGATTTAAATGTTTCCATTATGGTTTTTGACATCCGATTTTAATAAGATGTTTGAAAGATTTTTTAAAATTCCACAAAATAAAACCGATCGAAAACCGGATTTTTAAAATTTAGGAGTAACTTACCTTCGCAGGTATCGGCTCAAACCCGTAGCAAGTGTAAATCCCCCCCCCTTAAATGGGGAAAATGAAAAAATTTGGGGACGGATTAGGCAAAAAGGTCTTTGTCTATGGGCCTGTACCGGCTAATATTTACCTTTCACCTCTATCTTTTGATTCCAAGTTTAAGTATTTTAAATAGGGTTGCCGCTTTCAAATCGAACAGAAAGACTTCAAAACTTACCAATAAATTCATTATATTTAAATATTCTCAAGTTTTACCAACATTGACGACTATCAACTTCGTCGTTGGGCATTACATTTACACCGAATCTGGCGTGATCTTTGCAGAAGGGTTTTTTTAATTTTTTTTCCAAAATAATTTTTTTTTATTTTAAAGGTAAAGGACGATGTCCGTCTTCATCAAGAGCGTTACTCTTTACTTTACGTTCCCCATCCATTTATTATTCCTGGTGGCCGTTTTAAAGAATTTTATTATTGGGATTCTTTTTGGATATTGAAGGGACTTCTTTTTTCTGAAATGTATGATACAGCAAAGGGAACGATTCTCAACCTTATCTACATGGTTGAAAAGTATTTTTAAAACTAATTAAATTTTATCTAAAAAAATTTTTGGGAAATTTTCAACTCTGGTTTTCCATTTTTATACACTATTTCACTTTTTTTACCCTTGCCAACTAAACTAATCACGAAAAGGGTTCCACGAGGGGATATTTGTTAAGCTCATTTAATGAAAGGTCCGTTTTCCATCAGGTTTAAGCCATTAAAATGAAGACCGGAATAAGAGTCTTGTGCGAGAATTGTGTGAGATTCTTATCTCAATTTTCTATTTTACTGACTCTGAACTCTTTGTTATTGTGAAATGCTGACATAAACAGAGATTAGGTGAATATTCTAACCGTCATTCACCTCTTAACTCCTTTTGGCAGCTCCTCATTCAACGACATATAACAAAGAGTTCAAAGTCAGTAGAGTAGAAAATTGAGATAAGAGTTAGTTAGGTTTAAGCCTCTTTATTAGAGTCACAGGACAGGTCGTGTCTCGTACATTGTTCGCCCCCATATTCTGTCGATCGCCTCTAATTTGGGTCAGGATTGCTCTTTTCTGTAATTGGGGCATATTTCTGCCTAAGTCAAATTTAACCTTTTCAAAAATATTTTTTTCATTTTTCAGTCATGGTTTTGTACCTAATGGAGGGAGAGTTTATTATTTGAGTCGGTCACAACCTCCACTTCTCACTCCAATGGTTTATGAATATTTTCTAGCAACTGGTGATGTTGATTTTGTTCAACAAGTTTTCTTAAATTCTTTTCACTTAAAAAATTTTTAAAAAGGTTCTACCCGCACTTGAAAAAGAACAAACTTTTTGGAATTTAAATAGAGCACGGTCTTTTCTTGATCCGGAAACGAAAGAAGAATTATTTCAATATTATCAATATCGGGCGGCGATGAAGTTTGAATTTTTATTGGTTTTTAAGATTATTTTTTTTAAGATTTCCAAGACCTGAAAGCTATAGAGAAGACATGGAAATGGTGAAAGGATTGAATACGGATGAAGAACGTGAACAGATGTGGTCGAATTTGGCATCGGGTATTTTTTATTTAAAAATGAAACTGGGACCTTGGGTCTACCCATATTATTTTCTTTTTCTCCTATTTATTTTTGGCAACTAAATCAATCTGAAACGATTTTAAAAATTAAAATGAGGGTCTGATTTTCAATTCGTAAATGGAAAAACTTTAATTTTGTATGGCCGGCAAAGTTTCCTCCCAACTTTCAAATAAGACAAAAGTAAAAACGATCGATTTATGGTGGAATGGTTGATCGGTTAACAACAACCTTGCATCGGGGAGCTCTCAGAATCAGAGCCCATCCAATCTTTTATTTTTTTATTTAAATAAACGAGATTTACCGTAAAGGGGCTTGAATAACTGTTAGAATTAAAAATAAATTTGTCTCCTTTTTTTATTGATTTAGTTGCTAATATAAATTGAAAATGAGGAGATAAAGCTAAAAAGGGATGTCATAAGGTTCAAAATTACTTCTTAACTTGTTATTCAACAATTTTATAAATTTAGCAGCCGAAACTGGTTGGGATTTTAGTACTCGATGGTTTGCTCAAGAAGGGCCAAGCATGCACGATTTCAAGTCAATAAGAACTCTATCAATAGTTCCAGTAGATTTAAATGCTTTTATGTGCATTAATATGAGGATTTTGGCTTCTTTTTATGAAATTTTTGGTGATTTTAAACGAAAAAATGAATATTATGCTCGTTATCAAAAAATGAAATTGGCAATGAAAACACTTCATTGGAATGAAACTGATGGAATTTGGTTTGTTTTTTTGTTGATTTTTTTGGATCAGGGTTTAAGGAATTGTTTTAAGCTTATGTTACGAAGATAGAGTTTAGAATTGGGTGGTAAACTCCAAATTTAAAATGGAAATCGTCTTTAATAGGTTTGCCAAAATGGACCGACTCGTACCGAAAGATTGAGTCGGGCCAAAGATATTTGGCTCGAAAGTGACTCGTACCGGCCCGACTCGAAAACGGCAACCCTAGTCTTTTAATCTCATGTATTGGTATCTTTAAAAGGAAGGGATTAAGCTAGATTGGAGGAGTTAAGATGGATTCCAGCGGATTTGCATATACCTTGGGGGATTTGGTGGGATTAAAAGGGCGTAGCCAGGAGGTCGATTTCAGGGGGGGATTTCCCTCCTAAAATTTTTTATTTTTCCCATTTCAGTGGGTGGGGCTAGACCCAGAAGCCCCCTGGCTTCTGGGGCTATAGCTCCCCCTCTTACCCCTCCCCCCCCCCCTTCTTACGGGATTAAAAGGGATATTGGTGGATATGGAAGGGTGTGGGTAGATCTGTCGATATACGACAATTATTTTTTAAATTGGATTAAAAATCAGAAATATCCATAAGAAGGAAAATATTTTTAATTATTGACAATAAAGTTGTTTGGTTTTCTCCTTCTCCCTTTTTTTCTTTCCCTCTATTTCCTTTATTTTACCCAGGCCAAAAAATTCTGGAAATAATAGACCTTTTCTTTACTTTTATTTTAGGTATGATTTTGATTTGGAAAGATCAGCACATTCAGCAACATATTATGTTTCTAATGCTTTACCTTTATATGCAAAATGTTTTGATGATGAAGATGAAACAACTCCTTTTAGAATATATGATTATTTGAAGGTTTTTTCGGCATACAAAATTGAAAATAATTTTTTATTTAAGAGAGAGGGCGTATTGAATTTTACAAAAGGAATACCTACATCGTTAGCTATGAGTAGTGTTCAACAATGGGATAAAGAAAATGCTTGGCCTCCAATGGTGCATATGGTAAATAATTTTTTTATTTTTGTGGAAATTTTTTTTATTAGAAAAATAGGGATTGGACATTTTGAGCCAAAATTTTTGGTTTTTGACAAAAATTTAGGAAAAAATTTTTTGTTTAATTAAATAAAAATCAGAAGCCAATTACGGACTACATTTCTGGATAATTTCAGATATAAAATTTAAGAAAATTTGAAAAAAATTATTGAAGTGAGAGCCTTTCGGCTCTATCTTAGGACATGCGTCCCATGAAAGTATATGCGTCCCATCAACAAAAAATTGGATTTTTCTTGGTGTTGTAAAGTAGGGGTATGGGTCCAAAACATTTTTTCATGTTCGGGATCAGACCTGGGCGAAACTCCAAAATTTTTTCGGACGAAACGAAACGAAACAAAAAATTTTAAAAATCGTTTCGTTAACAAAACGAAACGAAACAGTCAAAATTTAACGAAACGAAACGAAACAAAACGAAACATTTTAATTTTTAAAAAATTCTCAAAAAACTTAATAATTTTATTAACTATTCAATTTTAACCAGGTTAATGGGCCACTAATGATGTGTGGGACCACAAATTGTGGTCCCGTTAACCATTTGTTGTGGACCCAATCGTTCAAACGTCAATTTTTCCCTTAATTCACCTAATTCCCTATATCACCATTAATAACTCGGTCCAGAATCATTTCCAGAAGTAGAGAGTGGTCCCGTTCGACTCAGCTCCTCGAGACAAATCGAATAACATTGTCAACTCACGAAATTTTACCACCAGTCAGAGTTAAGTCGAAACGAGTACCGGAAAATTGGCTCTGGGAAATTGGGCTCCAGCGGAAGATTTTCCGAAAATCTTGGAGCCTAATTTTCCAGAGCCCAATTTTCCGGACACCGTCGAAACAGTCAGATGTGTCGGAAATCGGAAGAGCCGGAAATCAGAACTGACTCAAAAGTCGGAAATCAAAAATAAAAATTTTTTTCGGAAATCGGAAATTAGAGACATCGGCATATATTAGGGATTAAAGGGACATAGTGGATTAAAGGGACATAGTGGGATTAAGGAGGATATCGAGGGAAGTAAGAGGACATCCCTTTAACCCCTCTAATAATCTCTCTTTTAATTCTTGCCAATATTACTCAAAGTCCACCTTAATCTATGCAAATGTACAGAGATATACACATATTTCCTTTTCTAGCGCCGCAGGCGAAAATTTTTTGAATTTTGGAAGGCCATGAAGGCAGATTTCCTCCATTTTCAGCGCCGCAGGCGAAAATTTTGAGAATTTTCATCGCCAAATGGGAATTTTTTTCAGTTTTTGGGCAATATTTTGGCTTAAAAAATAGGTAATGTTTCGTTAACGAAACACAGGTGTTTCGTTAACAAAACGAAACGAAACAAATTAAAAAGTGTTTCGTCACGAAACGAGACGAAACAGAAAAAAACATAACGAAACTAACGAAACAACGAAACGAAACGAAACGTTTCGCCCACGTCTGTTCGGGATCTACGTCCACTGGGTCTGGAACCGTTCCTTACCCTATCCCTCGAATTTCTGAAAGTTATAGCCAATTTTTAAAAATTTTAGAAAAACAATTTTAACTTTCAGAAATTTCGAGGGATAGGGGGATAGAGCCGCCTGGTTTTTTGTACTGCTTTAGAGTGTCGGTAGACGGTTTCCGAAAATTTTTTGGCAAAAAATTTTTTTCTGGCAGGTTCCAAATTATTTCTGTAATGATGAGGTACTAAAAACCTTAATCAGTCCTTTATTTTTCTTAATCTATCCGAAATTGCGATAATTTTTATTTTGGCGTTTATTTTTTATTTTATATTTTTGACCTTATTTCCAAGAAAAAAATTTTTTACAGAAAATTTTTTTGCCTACTACCGATTTAGAATATCGCAAAATACTGTCGGTAGTTCTCTTTTTTCCTTCCTCATTCAACTTTTTTTTAATTTAATTTTTTCTAGATAATTGAAGGCTTTCGTACCAGCGGTGATCAAATGTTAATGAAGGCTGCCGAAAATATGGCAACCCAATGGCTAATTGTTAATTATAAATCTTATGTAAATTAAGAGGGATTTTTTAAATTTTGAAAAAAAAATATTTAAAGGTCACAACTTATGCAATGTTTGAAAAATATAATGCTTCTTTATTAACTGAGGAATGTGGTGCTGGGGGTGGTGGGGAATATGAAGTTCAAGTAATTTTTGTTTTTAACCCTAATTAATGTTGGGTTAACATACCTGACTTGTATTTAATTGGGAGTGGATCAGTGCTGTCCGCAATTGCGAACTGCCGATTGCGTGGTTTTTTGGACTTGCGGCTGCGGATTTTAAAATTAAAATTGCGGACTGCGGCTGGGGCAATTTTTTTTCACTTGCGGACAAACCCGGGGTGGATTCGATGTCTAGAAAAGGTTGGTCAAGTCTATGTGTCGATGTTTTACAAGAAATTGTAGTGAAGCAATTTTTGGATATGACTATGCGGGTATTTTGATGACTTGCGGATATTTTAATGACTTTTACTCCTCCCTGTCTACTCTCTTGTCTTCAATTTGGAACAGGGCCGTAACCAGGATTTTTCTAGGGGGACAAGGGGTGAAGATTTTTCTGTGCCGAATGGAATCCAGTTAAAACGGTCGGGATCACTGTACATCCCCTAATAACAAGCACTCTACAACCCGCTACCCTGTGATTACCAAAAAAATTTTTTAATTTTATAGAAAGGTTTTGGATGGACAAATGGAGTAATATTAGATTTACTAGATAAATATGGGTCAAAAATATCGGTAGCAGAAGATGAAAGAACTAGTGGTTATTCATTAATGATTACATATACATTAGGGGCTCTTTCTGCATTTTTCTCTTTAGTAGCAACTTTAATGTTCCGAACACATTTATTTGAGAGAATTTATTTAAATAATGTATTTTAAATTCTGAAAAGCTTTAATTTTCAATTTTCCGGGTGCTTTCAATGCCTTCTAGTCAAAAATTAATTAATAAATCTTTTTCTGGTTTTAAAATCAAAAAAAATTGTAAGCACTTGGAAAGTAGCTAAAACAGCATTTTTGTTTTTGAATGTCATTTCCTCATATTTTAGATATTTTTGGGGTGGGATTATTATAGTTGAACCCCATTTTTAGATACCTCCTGGTATTGGAAATTTTACCTTATAATGAAGAGGTATATTAAATAGAGGGTATCTTATAGAAGGATATCTTATACTGGAGTACTTGTAATGAAGAGTATCTTATAAAGGGATATTTTATAGTGAAGTGTGTCTTAAATAGAGGGTATCTTATAATGAGGGTACCTTATAATCCGGGGTATCTTATAATGAAGTGTGTCTTAAATAGAGGGATATCTTATAATGAGGGTATTTTATAATTAAGGATATCTTATAGTGAAGGGTGTCTTATAATGAGGGTATCTTATAATCCGGGGTTCTTAAATAAGAGGTAGGACATGGGTTAGTAGGAGGTAAAAAGGAAATGACATTCATCAATAAGCCGGTTATTTATTTTTATTTTTCCGGTTTGTATTTTTGCGATGATTTTGTATTACTTTTTTTGTATCCTAGTGAGAGTTTACTCTAAAATTTATACGTGTATAGGCTTAATCATCTGCTTAATTTTCTTTTCATTTTATTCCCTAAAGTTTTGTTTTGTTTCTCATACATTTTAGCTTTCGATTTTATAATTAAACATTTTTGCTTTTATATTTTTTAAAAAAATTATGGGTTGTTTAAATCCTATTATGGGTTGTTTGGAACCTACCGTCCCGAATCACTAAACGTAATTTATTTTTTATATCGGCAGGACCAACATAAACCTGTTTTAAAATTTAGAAGAGGTTAGAAATTAATTTGTAAATTTCCAAATTATATGAATTAATCCAATCGAATCCCACCTTAAGACACCTTCAATTCCGGATACATCAAAATGTTTGGAAGTTTTTTGATGGCCATTGGTTTGGAGCAGAGGTGGGTCGGAATTCCGATTTCCGACGTTTTTTTCCTTCCGATTTCCGAAAAAAATTTTGATTTCCAAGTTCCGACCCTTTGAGCCAGTTCCGTTTTCCGACACCTCTGACTGTTCCGATCTGATGTTCCGACCCACCCCTGGTTTGGAGTGATACCCTCTTATTACCCTCCTATTTAGGATACCTCCACCATAAAATAGTCGAATCTCATTGTAAGATCCCATCCACGTTATCTCATCCCACGTTACCCCTATAACAGATTACTTGTTATAAGATACGATTCTTTTCTCAAAAAATCATCCTAATTGCCCAGAAACGTTTACTACTATAACAGTCAAGATTTTAAAACTTGAATAAACGAAAAACTTTTTATTGAGTAAAAAAAGTTAAAGAGAACAAAAATTAATAAATAGCCAAAAATAAATTCAATGGTAAATAAATAGAAACAGGCGAAAGAATATAATGAGGCGTGCCAGTTAATAAGTTTTGCAAAATATCAAAGATACGTAAATAAATTACAACACCAAATGTTTGTTGTCAACAATATTCAAGCACTCAGAAAACAATTAAAATCCCCACTTCCCTTCAGAGCTGAACGAAAAAAAATAAAATTTTGCTCACAACGAAATGAGAAAATAAATCTCTCAATTGACGGACATATCAGGATATTTCAATGTACGAACAGTTACCCTACTGATTTCGGGACCTACGGCCACTGGGTCTTGGATAGTATATTGCCCTCTTGAGAAATAGAGTTTTTATGTTTTAGAACAAACGTAAACACGCAAGAAAATATTTCTGTTACACCAATCCCGATATGTCCGCACACCTTCACGAGACGAAACGTGAAGGTGATATTTTTTCGCTCAGCTCTGATCCCTCTTCTTCACACACTTTATTTAACCAGAACACATTAAACATTCCGGTTCTCCACCTCCACAACCTCCCTCTTCATTTCCTCTTTCTTCTTGTTGTTTTTGTTTATTAAGTTTATCATCAAAAACTTGACGTCGAACTTGCTCTTTTACAACTCCCTTTGTTGTTACAATCATTGTTGTTTCCCCTTCTTCTAAAGTATCCGACATTTCTTCTTCCAAACTTATTGTTGTAGTAGTTGATGAAGATTCTTTCAAAGCTAATTTATTAACCGTAAATTGAATGGCGTTCACAGCTGGCCGAGTACGCAAATAATACATCCCTGTTTTCAAACCATTTTCCCAAGCAAAGAAATGCATTGAGGTAATTTTCGCATATGTTGGATCAGCAATATGTAAATTTAAAGATTGACTTTGGTCGATAAAAGGAGCTCGATCAACTGCCATTTTGATGATTTCACGTTGTGGAATTTCCCAAACAGTTTTGTATAAAGCTTTGATATCTTCTGGCAATCCAACAATATTTTGGACAGAACCTCCATCAGATATTAAACGATTCTTCATTTGGTCATCCCAGAGACCGAGTTGGATTAAATCGCGCATTAAATGAGGGTTGACAACCTTGAATTTTTTAAAATGAAATTTTTAATGGAGGAACTTATAAAGGAACGTAAAGAGACAGAGCCAGAGGTCAGGTTTCAGGGGCTATAATGGGACGTGAACCAACCAAAAACCTTTGGTGTTTACACGCCTTTTGGATATATTCACCCTTGTGGCCTTATATGAAATGAAGACTTTAAAAATTCCTACATGTTTGATTTTCCACAAAAAAATAATTGAAGTAATATTTCTTGTAATTTACTCAAAAAATGGATTTTAGTATCTTTTTTTTTCTTTTGCCCATGGATTTTTTTGTGATCGCGATCCTCCAGTATACCTTAAGAATCGGAAAGTCAACAAGCCCTTACATTGAAGTCTAGGACCAAAAAATTTTAATTGAAAAAACAAACTTGAAAATCGCCAGAAAGAACTCGACGACAATAAATATTCGATGTGTAAGGCTCAATAGACTCGTTGTTACCAAGAATTTGTGCTGTTGAAGCTGTAGGCATTGGAGCAATTAAAAGACTGTTGCGGACACCAAATGTTGCAATTCTTTTTCTCAAAGCATCCCAATCCCATAAATTAGTTGGAGTTACATTCCACTGAAATAAAAAATTTCTTTGAATTTTAGTAAAGACCCAATTTGGCATTTATAAAGAATATTTGGTATTTTTGCGGATTATTTTCACAGACTCGGAAAAGATAAACTGTGAATTTTTGATTGATTTTGATTGTTGGGTGTTAAAGAAAACTCCACAAAATAGACTGGACAGTCGAAAATACTTTTTCTTGTGTTATTCTAACAAAAAATGCCCCTGAGTCCCGAAATGTCTCTGATCCCCTGTATTCTGATTCCCGTTAATCAAGAATTTATTTTTTACATCACATTTTAAAAAGCGGAAGACGGAGACGCGGAAAAGTCAAAAAGTGGAATTTGAGGAATCGGAAATAACCCATCCCTAATATTTACTATTGACAATACAAGAGAAACAAAAACAAAAAATGCCCCTGAGTTCCGAAATGTCCCTGATCCCCTGTATTCCAAAAGAAAACCCCTCAAAAATTTATCCGCAAAAAACCACAAACTCTTCCTTACACCTATACCAAAAATAAATTTACAAACCATATCAAACTGTAAAATTCCTTTCTCAACTGGAGAACCTTTATAAGTCTCATATGGCCCAAATTGCTCAGCCAACTCGCAAGAAGCTTCCAATGCACCATAATAGATTGTTTCAAAAATTTGTTTGTTTAACTCTTTGGCTTGATCGCTAACGAAAGGAAAACGCATCAAAATAAAAGCATCGGCCAAACCCTTAAAAATTAAAAATTTCATTTAATTAAAACATAAAAATCATTTAGTGTCGCTTGACCGTCTATTTTGTTGTGCATTCAAATTAAATAAGCTTTTTTCAGTTTTAGTCAATATGACAAAAGATGGACTCATGTCGGGATCGATTTCTGTAGGGTTCTTTTGAACTTGAGTTGGCGGATAATCGAAATTTTCCATCTCTCCCTTCGCTACAAGACAAAAAAATCCCCTTCACATAACAACCTTCAAATTTTAATAAGATTTTCGATTCGGATTACGGATAAACAAAGTTCAAGGATCCGCCAACTATCAATCACTCCACAGAAATTCTTCAAAGAATAAATCAAAATAAAAAATGAGGGGCTCTTAAACAACACTATTATACCAAAAAAAAAGAAAAACTCAAACCTGTACACCAATTCCAATTGGACGATGTCGAAGATTTGAACGTTCAGCTTGTGGGACAGGATAATAATTAATATCGATTATTTTGTTCAAATTTTTTGTTATAACTTTTGTGACGTTTTTAAGACGTTCAAAATCAAATTTGAATTTTTGTTGTAATGATGGTGGCGATTGTCTAGTTGAAGTAGAATTTCCATTAGATTCTTCCAAAGCGCATGCTGGTCTTTTTCTGCTGTTTCTTGGTGGTGTATTTGGTGCTGATGTCCTTCCCTTTAAAAATTTAAGAATAGAAAAAAGTGAAGTCTAGGTTGGGGCTCTTACCGCATGAACTTGTATTGGCAGTTACTGGGAGATCTTAGAATATGCGGATTTTGATCGATACCAGAACCAAAAATGCCGGAGACCTTTTCTTTATCCCAGGATATACGGAACCATCAACTTTGTCCTGAACCCAATTTTTAACCGCGAAGAAAACCCTAAGAGTTCCTAAAATTTAAGCAAAGCCCTCATGCAATAACTGCCAAACTCAAACTAGAGAGGGAGGATATCCATAAAGTTACTCAACCCCCATTTTGAGAACCCTAAGAAAACCCTTGGACGCATAAACTGGACAAAACGTAAAAATTGAAGTCCAAACCTCTCCCACTCCATTTTGCTCCAAACCACCATCATCAACTACCACAAAACGCGGCAACGCAATCGAAGCCAAATTGCAGACAGAAACTTCTTCAGGCGAAGTATATTCCACAATTTCAGTACAAAGATTTGAGCATTTAATTGTTCCCAAATTTTTTTGGTTTGATTTACTGTTACAAGCATCTTTGTAGACCATATATGGAATACCAGTTTCTATTTGAGCGGTGATTATACGACTCCAAAGTTCACGTGCCTTTATTTGACGTTTGTAACGCTTTTCTTCTTCATATCTGGTAAAGGAATTGAATAATTGGAAAAGGAATCGTTGTGGTTTTTCTTCCCTTTGTGCTCCCAAAAATCCGCAAGTTTTATCTGCAAACCGAAATGATCTCGACGGGACGTCTAAAAAAGTTCCAAAAGATTCAGACAGGCATTACCTCAAACACCATATAGGATTTTCAAACTATCAACAGAGAATTCGTCATTTAAGTATTAGCCCCAAATCCTTCTTATGATAAAATAAAAATATTTGCGGATAAAACTTGCGGACTTTTAGAAACACAAAAGAAAACACCCAGTCTCCTCTAATAAAACAAAAACCTCTGATAAAGCTGTTCAAATTCCTCTCCCCAACACTCATCCAAGTTAGGACATTCATTCGGACACATTAAAGACCAAATGTCATCATCTCGCACTCGCTTCATAAAACTAAAAATTAAATTTAAAAAAATTTTCAAAATTTTTTCTTACAGATCCGGAATCCAAAGTCCATAAAACAAATCCCTTGCTTTGTGCTCTTCTGCACCCGTGTTGAGACGCAACTTTAAGAAATCCTCAATATCTGCATGCCAAGGCTCCAAGTAAATTGCATAAGCACCGGGACGCTTAATAAAAATATATTTATTTTTTGAAGGTAGTATTCCGTTTCCATTTGCTAAAAACTTTATTTTGCCGTTCGTAAAGAAGTTTATATTTTTGCAAACTGCGGACACAAAGTTGGATACCGAAAAATGCGGACAGAAAAAATTTTGCGGACATAAAAAAATTTTTGCGGACAAAATTTTTGGAACTTTATTCACAACAGAAATTGTAATCAATAAAAAATCTATTTGAATAGTATATACTGGCCAGTTAAAAAAATATTTTTTTAATGTTTTACTGTTTTATTTTAACTGTCCAGTCCACTAAAAACCTAAAGAAAAAACAAAGGAAAAATCCGCAAAAAATGTCCGCAAAAATAACAATTATTCTTTGTCATTTTTTGCAACAATAAACAACACTACACGCTCTCCCCTTCCAGCCTCTTCCCCATTCTTTCCACACTTCCTCTTCCCCCTACCAATCTTCTTCCTTTCACCTTTTTCTATTTTACATGCAGTGTGTTTTGATTCACCACAATAAAAAAACTTCAAAGCGGAAAGTGGGCGGGGCTAAAAAGTTTTTTTTGTTGCCAGTTGGAACGAGGCTTTAGCTAACATAAAAAACAACTCTTATATAGGAAGATAAATCATACTCCTTTCATTCATTCCATTAAGTGTCTTGTTTAAAGGATTAATTTCAAAAAAGACTTAAGCTCTCTCTACCCCCTTCTACTCACTAAAAATAAATTTAACCTAGTTTAGCTTTCAGAAAAAAAATTTTCCTACAATTTAGAAGGAGAGTGATGTCCTAGATCAACTGGAGGGAGTAGCCTTTCTTCATTCAAAACAATGCATGAATGGAAAGTCTAATTCCTCCAGTTGATTTTGAGACATAAAATAAGTCGGGCCTCACCAAAAGGTACATAATTTCGGCTCAAAAATTATATCATATGTTTAGGTGTATCTCAAATATAGTAGAATGGACAGCCTCACCTTTCGGAGGTGAGGCTGTCCATCAGACAGCCTCACCTCCGAAAGGCCAACCTAATAGCTTGTCCTAAATTGTGTACCTGAGTGTATCATCCGACTATAGTCATCATTAGGGTTGCCAAAATGGTGCGGTTCGGACCGAAAGATGAGTCGGGTCTAACAATAAGATATTTGGCCCGAAAAAGACTCGTACGGCCCGATTCGATAAAAACGAGGCCCGAAAAAATGACTCGACCGGCGGCCCGACTCAAAAACGGCAACTCCTAATCATCCCCCTCTATTCTTTTTTTACTAACCTTATTCCCTCCCTGATCAATATAACGTGCCACAGAATTAAAAACTTGCAACATTGGAATAATTCCATTCGAATTTCCATTTGTTCCAGAGATCAAAGAACCCGAAGCACGAATTGAATGAATGGAAAGTCCAATTCCTCCAGCCGATTTTGAGATATAAGCACAACGATTTATTGTTTCAAAAATTCCTTCAATTGAATCGCCAACCATTGAAAGCAAAAAACAAGAAGAAAGTTGTGGACGTTTTGTACCCGCGTTGAATAAAGTTGGAGAGGCGTGAGTAAACCAACGCTCGCCCATGAGATTGTAAGTCTATAAAAAATTAAAATATTTTTCAAAATTCAATGCCAAGTAATGGAGCTGACCGAAAGGCAGGCCGAAACTTGCGGACCGACTTTTGCGGACCGAAACTTGCAGACCCGACGAATTTCTCAAAACATAGCTCATTCGAAAGAGCTCGACGAGCTGAGTCGAATGACATCAAAATCATCGTGATTGTACAGGCTTGGACAAAGTTACGATAGAAAAACGAAAACATAAACCCCTAATCCGCAAAAGTCGGTCCGCAAGTTTCGCACTACCGTCCGAAACCGAAAAATTTTCCAAGCTTCAATACTACTTACAAGCCCCAAAAACTTTAAAATAATTGTAGGTCTTGACAGTGTCGCTAACTAGTTAGCGAAGGAGAAAAGTAAGAGCCGATGAAAAAGGAAATCGGCTGCTAATAAATAACAGAATCGCACCAGCCGATGGGTGGTTGGATGGCCGAACGGAGTAGGCCGCAGTTTGGAGAGAAGGGGCCCTGGATCGAAGGAAAGCAGTCCAACCCAAATTTTCATAACAGCTCTCTCATACAGGTATGAGAGCCCCACAGAATCCCTGAATTTTTATCTCCAAGTTTTAGAAATTTGGTCTCTGTCTCACAAAACGGAAAGCAAGGACATGAAAAACCCCGATGGGTACATAAACGATTTGAGACTTTGGAGACCAAAGATTCAAAAAATTTCGTAAATTCCGGACCCCCAAAATCCCCCAAAACATAATTTAAAAATAAAAACATTTATTGCAGCCTCAATGTCAGTTTTGTGTATCCCAACAGCAACACGCATCAACATATGCTGTGGCCTCTCAACTACTTTTCCATTGATTCGCAAAAGGTAAGATCGTTCAAGTGTTTTAAAGCCAAAATAAGTATAGTGAAAATCACGATCATAAATAATTACTGAATTGAGTTTCTAAAAATAATAAATAAATTTTATAAATTGTAGAACATATGCTAGGTCACTGGTTAGTCAATATCCGAAATCCGGACCTTTTCTCGACACTAAATCAGAACTTGACCCCAGAAATTTTTCAAAAACCGAATCGACTTTTTTCCTTCCTAATCTCTCTGACTGACACGAAATGACCGAACCCTAGACTTTTACCGGCCCAAAATTCGATCTGAAAAAAGATATATGAACCTGAACCTTTACAGGTTCCTAGATAGGAACCTGTAAAATGGTGACCAGATCCTTGACTATGAGTCAAGCAACAAAGCAAGAAACCCTGAAAACGATTTGATCTTGACTCTGGATCAAAGGAAAGCGACCAAGTCTGAAACACATCCCAAAAACATGCAACTCTCAAATAAATTTTTTTAATTTATTAAACAATTCCCGAGTATTTTTGTAAAAGCAGACTCCAAAATTTTTAAATAAAAACCTCTTTATTTGCAGTAACAGTTTTGTAAAGCTCTTCGCTAACCAACGGCAAATGTTCCCCGTTTTTTGAGTGTTTATGATGGTAGAGATCACTGACCACGTCTGAGAAAACCTAAAGGAATCAGTATTGCACACGAAAGTCCGCAAGTTTTGTCCGCAAATCATAGTACAACTTGCGGACAAAACTTGCGGACTTTTTGAACATAAGGAGAGAAATAGCGGTTTTTCTGGGTAAAAAACCAGAAAGCCTTCGAGAATCTCCCCAAAATTTTCTAAAATTTCATTAAAATTTAAAAACCTTTTTCGTTTCTTTGTGCAGATTTGAAACAGCAATTCTGGCAGCAAGCAAAGCATAATCTGGGTGAACTGTAGTATTTGAAGCAGCCACTTCAGCCGCCAAATTATCCAATTCAACAGTTGTTACTCCAGTATAAATGCCTCTGGACGCCTTTTCTGTGATCAAATCCTTTGAAATGAGGTCAGATTAAATTACATTTTTGGAGAAGGATAGCACCTTCCTTCAGTCCCAAGGGTTTATTGATAGCTTAACAATAAGTAGGGCCCTTGGCTCGTGGTAGCCAAAATTATTTAAAAATAGATTAACAGGGATTGACTTTATCCAAATTTAGAAACTTGTCTGCAAGTTTTGTCCGCAACAAATATTGCATAATTGGATGCCTCACCGTTGCCTGGATGTACTGCTCCATAATGTTGTAGGGCTCAAAGCGTTCGTTACTATACTTCCTCCTTTTTCCCTCAGCTAATTTTCCTTCAATTGGGCTCCTAGCCAATTCCACTCGATTTGCGGACAAAACTTGCGGACTTTTCCCATGTACTCAAGCTTAAAGCCTGAGTCCTTCAATTTGGACCTCAGCCAATTTCCCCCTATCTGGCCCCAAGCCAATTTTCCTTCAACTGCGGACAACTTGGACTTTTCCCTATGTAGTAAAAATACTCAAAAGTTCTAACCGGATTAATATAGCACATATCAAGTCCATAACATAGCTTTGCAACGCGAGAAAAAATTTTGCCTGGATGCACTGCTTCATGACGCCCATCCCTTTTAATTACGTATCGTTGATCGCTAAGTTGTTGAGTAGAGTTACCATTAGTAGTAGTATGGTTAAATTCTGGACCCATTCTTGGTTCTTGTTAAATCTAAAATTTAGAAAAATAATCAAACAATTGATAAAAATGGGGGAACAATTCGCCGACATACTTTTCGCCGAATTTCCTTGTGTGTCGGTGAAAAGTCTGCCGACGAATTTCTGCGAAAAGTCTCCTAAAATAATTTCTTTACAAACCCTAGCACGTCCAAAAATTAATATAAGTGAATATAAACGCTGTTATGTATCGAAATAAAAATATTTTCCTCACGGGGATTCGAACCTCTGACTATAAATCTAAGAATTATCCCACTTAACTAAAAACCCATTTTCTGTTCTGGGCGAATTGAGGGCAGGACAAAACAGCGCCCAGCTTTTCCAAAGCAAAAATACTATCTATTAGAGAAAATAATGCCCATTTCGCTTAAATCAATCCTCAGGACGTTGAATTAGCCAGACAGTGTTTTGCCCCTTCCCTACTCAACCTGGGGGTCTCAAAAAAATTTTTAAAAATTTCAACAAAAATTCCTAACAAATTTCTCTCATTTTAGGAAGGAAATCCTTTCTTATTAAATATTTCTAACGATTTCCTTTCTGCGAAAACGTTAAACAAATGAATACACAAAAATAAATAGTTTGGTCATTCCCCCAAACAGAAAAGTAGTTGGCTTTATAGCAAATTTTAAATGAAACAGAGCCCGCGTTCTTTGGATGGTGAACAATAAATTTGAGGGAATGTTAGTGCTACACATAGTTCTTTGTCCGTGCTAACCCCTAAAACACAAATAAAATATCTTTGCAAACCCAAGCGCGCCCAAAAACGAAGAAAAATGGGTAAGAAAATGTGTTTTTGGCTTTGTGATTTTTGAAGTAAAGATAAAATGACTGAAGGAAAATTGAGAAATAAATGTAGGTCCTGTTTCAGGTATCTTAAGAACTTGAATAAGATTAAGAAATCCAAACAAGTCCATAAAAGGGCTTAAAAAGAAAATTTTCAGCAAAAAACACATTTGGTCACACAGAAGAAAATTGACCATTTCGTCACACAGGAGAAAATTGACCATTTGGTCACACAGAAGAAAATTGACCATTTCGTCACACAGGAGAAAATTGCCATTTGGTCACAGTTGTTAATAAGCGAATTTTTAGATTTCTGGGAACTAATAAACCACAAATTTACCTTATATTTTAAAATTTTTATTTTTATTTGTTTTATTCATTTTTTAGTAAATTTAAAATTCTAAAAAATTCTTCAATTTAAATTTTTCCTCAAAATGGCCAGCAACAACAAAAATTCTCCTCAAGCACAAGCTTTACAAGCAGTTGCCGATTTGGAAATTGAAATGATGACAGACACATATAGAAGAATGACTCAAAGTTGTCAATCAAAGTGTATAAATACTTCGTATCGAGAATCTGAACTTTTGAAAGGTTTTTTTGATTAAATTATTATCTAAGGGGTTTAGAAGCTTTTTCGGTAATATTGAACCTAACAGACCCCATTTTTTCCTTCCCAAGTTTCCCCCTCCCTATTCCATCTCAGTTGCCCTTCTAGGGATCACCCCTAAATATCGACACCCAAAATGACGAATTATCCAAAATATCGAATTTTTCAAATTTCATAATTATGTATTCCAATGATCGGGCATGATGTTCCAAGATCGCGGAATTGTGTTTTCGATCGAACTGACCATAGCGACCGAACAAGATTCTACTTGGAGATCGATCACTCTTCTTTGATTGGACATATTGATCATGATCGATGTTTGTTCCATTGTTGAAACAATTTCCCTATGTTAAAAAGACTTGCCTGTCCTTGGAATACTTAATTATGAAGTTTAAAAATTTTCGATATTTTGGGTAATTCGTCATTTTGGGTGTCGATATTTAGGGTGTCGATATTCTGGGGTGGAGTCCCCTTATATATTTTCCTACAAACACTCAAAAGAAATTAATTTTTATTCATCCTTGGATGGAAATAAGGAAAATTGAAGGAAGACTGACCTTTCTGTAAATATATACGAAGAAACTTGGGAAGGAAAAAATGGGGTCTGTCAGGTTCAATATTACCGCTTTTTCTATGGACCCCCATTTAAGAGACTCATTTTTTTCTTGGGTTTTGTTGTCGCTTTCGAATTCTGTAACGTCTGTTGGGCGTGGGACTGGGGATGTCTTTTTCAACCCGAATTGAAAAACCGAAGATTTTCGGTTCGGTTAATAAACGATCCCGAAATTCAATAGTTTTAAGTCATTAATTATCCAACAAAATCCGCAACTGTTTATCCGCAAATCAAAATAATTTTTTTGCATTTTTAACAACAAAATCTGACGTTACATAACTTCAAAATGATGTACAATGAGATCCGATTGTCTAAAATAATCCTTTTGATCGGAAAAAACGGAAAAAATTTGCGGATAATTTTTTGCGGACAAAAAATTTGCGGATAATTTTTTGCGGACAAAAAATTTGCGGATAATTTTTTACGGACAAAAAATTGCGGACTGTCCGCAAAAATTAAAAAACACTTTCAAAGTAAAGATCTTTCTAAAAAAATTTTTTTAAGGCGAAGCAGTCTGTCTCGACCGTTGTTTAGCCAAATATTTGGATGTTCACGATCGACTGGGAAAATTACTTATGCAAATGACTCAACAGGACGACAAAGCACAGCAACAACAACAGCAAAGTTTAGCGGCTACAGCACAGAAAATGCATGGGAAATAGAAGGGAAGATTTTATTTTGTTTGTTTAGTTTATTTTTTTAAACAATTTTAATTATTGTTACGCCTTTAAAAATTTTTATTTATAAATAATGAAAAAAATTCTTGAGCTTTTTAATGTTTTTGAGTATTTTAAGCTGATTTTTTCGTGTCCGGGACAATTCACCGTCCGACCAGAATAATGTCCACCCACTAATTGTAAGTTAAAATACCGTCCATTTCGTTTAGAACAAAAATTTTTAGAATAGAATTTTTAGGCATACAATTTATAGAACTAATCAAGACCACTAGCTGTATGGTCCAAAAAGAATCACTCACCCGATTTTTTAGTAGTTTATTTTTAAAAATTATTTTTATGTCAGTAAAATCTCAAAAAATGGCTGGAAATTTTCTGATTAATTCTTAAACTTCTTAGAATCTCTTTATTTTTTTAGTCCATAAGGTTTTGACGAACATTATTTAATTTCGAAGGAGGCATATCCAAAGGGGGAATGACTTAAAACAAAGTTTTGTTTGTCTTCTCAAAATCCCAACTTTTGTGAACTTCCAAATGAAAAATTTTTTCCTCATCCCGCAATTTTAATTTTAAAATCCGCAAGTCAAAAAAACACTAATTAACGCAATCCGCAATTGTGTCCATCCCTGCTCCTCACAGTCCCTTTTCAGTGATTAATTAACATAAACAAATATAATCACAACTTTTGTATAAGCAAAGTCTAGAAAAATATATAGGTAAATCTAATAAATATTCTTTATTTATAAAATCTCAAACTTCACTATAAAATACCTCTATTTTTTGGTTAGCTACTGGGTGCCTCACAAATAGGCGATACCCCCAATTTAACAAACCCCCATTATAAGGCACTCATTTTTCAATCCCTTGGAGGTGTCTTATAGTGAAATTAACTAATATTTATTCAAAACCCTTAATTTGAAACTTTCTTCAACTCCTCATTTTCTTCTAATTTTGGCTGTATTATATACCGATAATGTCCAATACGAAGTATTTGAACTGAAAAAAAATTTTTTTGAAATTTAAAAAATCTTTAAAAATACCCATTCCCGTGCAAAAAACAAAAAAGTTAACACTAGCCAAATAATAATTTTTTGGAACAATTACAAAACAATAACGTGTCCAAACAGCGCCTGTTGCGGCTAATGAGGCATTCTAATTTAAATAGAAAATTAAAAAAAAAATTCTCTAGTCCAATTTATGCATCCCATAACGTTGCATATTAGAATTTCTGTGGTTTTCAAGGGGGTCTTACTGGGTTCCTTTAAAGTTTTTTGGAAATTGGAACCAGGGATCTAGCCGACAAAGAAATAAATCCCCAATTTCGAGTATCACATTCCCTAACCGAGAATCCCTGATTTTCGGGATTCGAGTCGACCAGATCCCTACTTGGAAATGTCGGAGTTGGCTTGAACCATCAGCTAGCTTATTCTTTTTAACTTGGTCAATTTTCAAGAATTTTAGCAACCTCTCTAAACTGCCCAAAATTAATACGGATAAGTTAACGGATGATTCAAGTCAACTGACTGCAAGTTTCCGAACCTAACAACGTTATGGAACCTTACCCTAACCTTGAAAACCACAAAAATTCTAAAATACAATTTTATGGGGGCCTAAACCCTTCAAAAGCCTTAAAATTCCAAACCTGATTAATACTCAATTTCGAGGCAGGTCTAGTCAAATCAGATATTCCAGCACCTACAAGTACCCATTTAATTGTTGGAGACCAAAAGAAAACTGTTTTGGGGCCGGCAGGGTGATTCCACGCTGGCTTGGCAAAGCTGGGCAAAATTGGATAAACTAGCTGAAATAATAAAAATTGTGAAAAAATAAAAAATTTGTTAGCCTAACCTCAAGATATCCCCCCAGAATTAAATGCACCTCGATGAAGGGTCCACCCCAAAAGGTTAAATGACTCTAAAGGCCAACTCCAAAAATTTGGGATTAAAATGGATTTATTTGGATAAGGGGCTCTCGCTTAGAAGGGTATTTAAAAGGGAGGGAGCCAACGTATCACTTATCTTGAGTTCCTTTTATCAGCCCAAATATTTGGAGTTGACTTTTAGGGTCATTTAACCGTCAGGGGCAGAACCTCCTCAATGGACTATTTTACTATTTATCTCCGAACCTAGAGGTTTAAACACTATTGACGTTAAAACCTTGAGACAAGGTTCGTAAACCTAGAATTGGATTAGACACACCTCACCGCAGAAAATCTAACAAAAAAAAACAAAACCAACTTTGTCCCCAAGACGACATAGAGCCCTATAAATTGTTGAAGGTATTGCTGTCATATTTAATTGTTGACAAGGGCTATTAATTAGAAAAGAAAATTCAAAAAATTGTTTAAAAATAATCAACAGATTTTTCTAATCTAATTTAAAATAATCAAAAAAACATGCAAAGGTGTCAATTTTATTCCAGTAAATTTTTAATGAAATTAAACATCGGTAAAAGAAAAGTCAGGGGTTACTTTCCTTTATCCTCCTAAAAATCCGCAAATTTATGAAAAGTCTGCAAGTTAAAAAAAAGAGTCCGCAAATTTCAAAGGAAATCTGCAAATTTTAAAAAAATCCGCAGATTCCAAAGAAAGTCCGCAAATAAAAAAAATCCGCAAGTTTAAAAAAAATCCGCAAGTTTTGTCCGCAAGTTATTAATAGTAAAATTTCCGGATTTTTACGAGCATAAAGGAAGGAAAAAGTGCGACTACAAGTAGATAGTGCGACTAAAATAAATTTTTTTGTAAATACTGGAAAGGTTATCATGAACAAATATTTAATTTGTAAATGGTGTGAGATGTTTTTCAAAAAACAAAAATTAATTTTAAAAAACTTCTTTTATTTTTCCGTTCAAACATAAACAGTAGAACCTCGTTATAAGATATCTCCCAATTTTAGATACCCTTCAATTTAAGATACGTTTTCTAAAATTTGGTTGGCCACTGGGTCGGTTGGTTGGCCACTGGGTGCGATAAAACGGACTAATTGTCACCCTCTATTTAATAGACACCTCACTATAAGATACCCCCTATTTAAGATACAGCTCGTTATAAAATCTTATTATAAGATTCCCTCTAAGATAACATTAATTTAGGATAATTAATCAACCCCTCCATTTAATTAACACCTCAATATGAGGTGCTTTTTCAGCCCCAAAAAAGGTATCTAAAAAGCGAGGTCCGACTGTATATAATTTTAATTAATTTACACACACCATTAAAAAATATACACAGCACAAAACATTTTTTAAAAAGCATTTTTCCTTAAAATTTTTTATTAAAAAAGTAGTCGAGTTAAATTTTCATCTCATAAAATAGAAGTGATACTTACACAAATATTTATACAATGACTTTTTCGATAGTGTAAAATAAGCAAAAAAATTTGACTTTTTTAAAAGATGTGATCTTTCTTTTTCATTTTTTAAACAGAAAAATTTTCATACAAAAATCGCATCTTTGATATGGGGTAAAATATTTATAGAATCCTTTTAATACGAGATAATGGGGAGAGAGAAAATTTTTTGTGTCAAATTAGATATCCTTTTTTTAGTTTTATAACCAAATTACTAAAAAAAAGACAAGTCTCTAGTGCAGAATAAGTGTCTCATAAATTTGTTTCAGGTTTTTAATGTTTGCTTGTTCCGTTCTTGTGTTATAAGTTCGGACCTAAGGACACCGGGTTTAAAAATTATAGAAAACCCAAGCTCTATAAGAAAAAATTTTCCCTAAATTACATGTTTTCAATGTTTGCTTTGGGTTCCGTAAAGTTTTTTTTGGTATTTTGGAAAAACATTTTTATAAGTCACCTAACAATAAGTATTAAAAATAAGCGCGCAGTCAACAAAGTAAATTAATTTAAATTGAAGATTTTTTATTGGGAATTGGACTAGAGTGGACACTATATTAGTAGGTACATTACAAGGTTTTGTTTCTAGTAAATACTTAAGCCTATGTTTAGTATGAGTCCGAGGCCAAAAATAAGAAAAATACGATCAAAATTTATATTAACTTAAATTCAACTCCATTTTACGGAAAGATTTAAGAGATAAAAGTTAAACCCCAAAAACAAAACAATGTTACGCAAAAAATAGACTAAAACAGAAAGGAGCAAAAATAGGAAAACAGAACAACTATTTATCAAAAAATAACGTATAGGCAAGAAATAAAGTTGAGACATTGTAGTATTAATGAGTTTGCTAACAATTGCATAAACTAAAATGATTTAAAAATTAATAGGATCATTATTCTGTAACAAATAATAGTAAAACTACAAATTTTACAAAATTTGGAAATAAAAAAGGAAATTTTCCTCAAAATTACTGATAAATATTGGGGTAATTTGTTGTTTTTGCTCTTCTGTTAACGCGTTATGTTCATCTTCCATTTCCGCTGGAAGGATTATAAACTCTACCCCTAATTTTTTTGCTCCCATTAATTTTGGGATAAGGCCGCCGACTTTGTGCACAGTGCCATCGACCCAAATCTCACCCATGGCATCAAAATTTGCAAAAGCAATTTAAATTTAAAAGGCATGTTAGAATTATTGACAAAAAATCACTTAAGTAAACAACTTAAACCGGGATCACTCCATCAGGTCAACTCCCAAGAGGACAACAACTTAGTGGCCACCCTTGAGTCAACTTTCAATCAGGCGCTGAATAATTTTAAAATTTCAGCAATTTGAGGGATTAAGGGGTATTTGGAAGGATCTGGAAGATCTGGGGATAATTTCGATTAAATAAACAGATCATTAAGCTCATTAAATATTTATATATAAACACTTTTTATTTAGGTATGTATAATTCCAGATTGCACCCACTTTTTTAGAGAAAATTATTGGTGGGTTGCTGGGAAAAGGATAGGCAAAATTTCAGTGAGATTTTTAATGAAATGAGGCGTAATATCTTGTTTTTGTTCTTTGGTTAAATTGTTATATTCCTCCTCCATCTCTTTTGGGAGGATAATGAAATCAACCCCGATTTCTTTAGCAGCCATTAATTTGGGAATTAATCCGCCAACCTTATGGACCGAACCATCTGCCCAAACTTTTAATATAGTATACTACGTTGTAAATAAGTAAAAGATGAGGTAGTTGGGGTAAAGTCTATATTTCGAACCCCCGCGACTTCTAGGGGGTTAACTACTTAAAAATGACTCCGCCAAATTTAAATTGCTTTTACAGCATATGCTGCAATGGGCGAAGTTCGGGCAGATGGTTCGGTCCATAAGGTTGGCGGATTAATTCCCAAATTAATGGCTGCTAAAGAAATCGGGGTTTGATTTCATTATTATGCTTAAAGAGATGCATGAGGAACATGTCAATTTAACTAAAGAACAAAAGCAAGACATTACACCTCATTTCATTGAAAATCTCACTGAAATTTTGCCTATCCTTTTCCCAGCAACCCACCAATAATTTTCTCTAAAAAAGTGGGTGCAATCTGGAATTATAATACCTAAATAAAAAGTGTTTATATATAAATATTTAATGAGCTTAATGCTCCGTTTATTTAATCGAAATTATCCCCAGATCTTCCAGATCCTTCCAAATACCCCTTAATCCCTCAAATTGTTGAAATTTTAAAATTATTCAGCGCCTGATTGAAAGTTGACTCAAGGGTGACCACTAAGTTGTTTCCTCTTGGGAGTTGACCTGATGGAGTGATCCCGGTTTAAGTTGTTTACTTAAGTGATTTTTTGTCAATAATTCTAACATGCCTTTTAAATTTAAATTGCTTTTGCAAATTTTGATGCCATGGGTGAGATTTGGGTCGATGGCACTGTGCACAAAGTCGGCGGCCTTATCCCAAAATTAATGGGAGCAAAAAAATTAGGGGTAGAGTTTATAATCCTTCCAGCGGAAATGGAAGATGAACATAACGCGTTAACAGAAGAGCAAAAACAACAAATTACCCCAATATTTATCAGTAATTTTGAGGAAAATTTCCTTTTTTATTTCCAACCCCCCAAAAAATTAAATTTTGTTTAAATTTGTAGTATTACTATTACATTATTTTTTACAGAATAATGATCCTATTAATTTTTAAATCATTTACTAGAAACAAAACCTTGTAATGTACCTACTAATATAGTGTCCCCTCTAGCCCAATTCCCAATAAAAAATCTTCAATTTAAATTAATTTGCTTTGTTGACTGCGCGCTTATTTCAAATACTTATTGTTAGGTGACTTATAAAAATGTTGTTTAAAAATACCAAAAAAACTTTACGGAACCCAAAGCAAACATTGAAAACACGTAACATTTGTACCAGTTAATGCGTAATACCACTCGAAGTATGTACTGCACTAGAGACGAGCACAACATTTTAAATATCTTCTCAATGTCAGAAAAAAAGATACCTTAATAGAATTATTTAAATAAACAAACATTTTTTAGTTTAAAAAAATATATTTCACAACTCCATCATCATCACATCCCTTCCTTTTCGAGATTATAATCTTCCCATTCATGCACAGCAATTGCTTGCACGGCCTAAAGGAGTACCACCACCTGGAGCATTTGGAGAGCTTGGCGAATGTTGTGGTCCAAGTTTGATTCCATTTGCCTTTAAAAAGATAATTCAAAACTAGTAACTGGCAAAATAGAATTTTTGGGATAATTTTATAGTACAAGTTTGCAGGAACTCCCAGAAGATTAATCACACAGCCTATAATCGAAATAATATTTAAAAATTCCGTCCAAGATATGTAGTAAAAATAAACATCGGATCTCACTTTTAAATAAGACCTTGTGGCTTACAAAGGGTTAGCTTAATCAAGAGTATCCTAAAAAGGGTCATCGCTTATCCTCCCATCCTATGGCAAAATAATTTTAAACGAGTATCTGAGTCGAGGAAATCTAGTATTTGAGTGTATTTCCCGAAAATTTTCTGGCTACGTCCTTAGGCCCAATTGCAAATTAATAATAAACCCTCAACGACCTTAAAAAAGAAACCAAGTAAAACAATCCCACTTAAATATGTCAAATAAATAAAACCTCATTATTGATGTCAAAAACGCCTTCTTGTATTTTCCTGTAGATTTCCTTAGCCGTATCAATAAAAGCTTCTTCAACATTTGCTGCCGTTTTTGCTGAAGTTTCCATGAAAACCAAACCATTTTCACGTGCAAACGCTTCGCCCTCTTCACGTTTAACTTCACGGCGAGCTTCTAGATCACTTTAAAAAAGCAAAAGATTAAAGTTCAAAAACGCCCAAAGAAACCTTTTATTGCCAATCAACATAATAACCATATTAGAATTTGAATGTTGACGAGCATCTTCTAACCACGATGTTAAATGATTGAAAGTGTCACGCCTGGAAATTTGTAAAACGTAAAGTGTTATATAAATAAAATTATAAGGAAGG